GCCCCCCTAACCGCCCTCCCCTGCAGGTCTGGTCCCCCCCAACTGCCCTCCCTTAGAGGCCTGGTCCCTCCCAATTGCCCTCCCCTGCTGGCCTGATTGCCCACAACTGCCCTCCCTTGCAGGCCATCTTGTGTCCACATGGGGGCAGCCATCTTATGTGTTGGAGTGATGGTCAATTTGCATATTCTTTATTATATAGGCTATTCTACATCACTAATTATTAGAGAAATACAAATCAAAACCCCATTGAGATACCATCTCACACCCATTAGGATTATTAAGATAACTATTATTGAAAAAAAAGTGTTGGTGAGGATGTGGAGAAATTGGAATTGCAAAATGCTGCAACTGCTATGAAAAACAATATGAAGACTCCTCAAAAAAATTAAAAATAGATCTACCATATGACCCAGCAATCCAACTTAGTATTTATCCAAAAGAGTTGAAAGCAGTGTTTTGAAGAGATATTTTCATACCTATGATTAGAGCAGCATTATTCACAATAGCAAACAATCCAAATGCCCATCAGTAGAAGAATAGCTAAACAAAATGTGGTCTGTTCATACAGTGGAATATTATTCCGTTTTAAAAAGGAAGGAAGTGCTATGACATGGATGAACATTGAGGATATCATGCTAAATGAAATAAGCCCGTCACAAAAAGACATCCTCGATGATTCCACTTACGTGAGGTATCGAAAGGAGTCAAATTTATAGAAACAGAAAGTAGAAAGGTGGTTGACGGGGCTGGCGGAGTGGGGAAGAGGAGCTGTTGCATATAAGGTACTGAGTTTCAGATCTGCAAGATGAAGTTCTGGAGATCTGTTTTGCAATGACGTGAATGGTTCAAGTAGTAAAATTTATGTTACGTGTTTTTCACCACATAAAAAGAATGCTATGAAGGAGGGGGAAATGAGGCTAATTGTTCTCAAACTCCGTTCTTGGATATTAGAATTCCTGGATACAGATCAACAGGTGCTTGCCTTGCGCACTCTATTATCCAAGAGATCTAAATGAAATCTTTCTTATTTTATCTTTTGTTCTTGAAAAAATACAAAACAGTCACCAAGAAGAGGCATTATCAACCAAATTAAGCAAGCATTTAACTCAAATAATACCTTCAAAGATTAAAGAAACTAAAAACCTTATATCCGGGTTTCCTGGGCTGGATCTTAAAGGATAGGGGCTATCCTCTTTTATTGCATGTTTTAGTGGTGTCTTCCCTGAAAAGCCTCCAGATACAGAGGAAGGATGAAGGTACCCGAATTAGTCATAGAGCACCAGATTCCCTGTCCTATTGGAGGATGCTAAGTTTAAAAATAGTTTATATTGTACAGTTTAAAGAGCAGTTGGGTAGAAGAGACATTGTTCATCAGACATTTACTAACAGGGTACTGTGTGCCAAGGATGCCAACATGAATGAGACAGGCAGTGCAGGGCATGCCTAGCGGGCCTCCTGCCTCTGGGCTTCTCGTATACCCATTTGAGTACCCGGCAAGTCCCGAGCAGCCGATCCTAGATAGTGAGAGCATCCTGGTAAAAACAAACAAATAAAACCACTTCTAAATGAAAAGGATCTGTGATGGAAAGAAGAGGTTGCATCTGAGAAAGAGAGAGAAGGAGGGAGGGAGAGAGAGATGTGCCCCTCGTTCAACTATCTGCATTTATAAAGAAGAAAAATCAGGGCACAAGAGGGGCTAATTTGGTCTTTGCGGTCTTTTCCTTCAGTATGCTGCATTCCTTCTGCCACAAGCACTCAGACAATTTCGTGGCCGGCCTGTGCCAGCCTCTGACGTAGGGCTGAGCCGTGCTCCCTCAGGACTCGGGTCTGCACCATGAAAAGGGCCATCTGCTCTCCAGATTCACTGGCATGCTAGTCAGGAACTTACATGATGGTGGTTTGCTGGAGATACCTTTTCTCCTCACATCATGGCCGGCAGGCGGGCAGTGTTGCACACTGCTGATTTCTTTGTTTTGTCCTCCTTTTTGTTGTGTAGAACACAATAACAAAGCTATTGGAAGGAGCTGGGGTTTCCTTGGAGCCTGGTTAGGGGATATTTGTTTAAATCACCATGCACCCTGTCTGTCCAATTCTGTCAGTCTTTCTCCCAAGGTAACTGCTTATTAGCTCCTTAGGTGAGAACCCCTCCCCTTCCTTTTACATTCCATTTTAAGAAATGAAAACACTGAGAGACTAAGAGACAGTTGTAAATAAAACCTTCACATTCAGCAGCCCCCGCAGATGCTTTCCGAACAAACCTCCCCAACTGGAAGGCAGTGGGAGAGAATGAGGCAGCATTCTCGTCCCCCGAGGCCGGGGCTGGCTCCAGAGTAGGCCTCAAAGCAACCGAAGAGATGTGCCCACTTGTTTCTTTCCTTTTATAACCTGAAGCCTGTCCTCAAAGCCACCTTTTGTGGGTGGTGGGGGTGGGAGGTGGGGGCAGCGAGAGAAGGCGAATTCAAGCAAATGCCATGCGACATTTCCCTGTAGGAGGTCATGCCTGTCTGGCATTTTATTTAAACTCGGTTCTTTGCATGAGCAGCTGGTGGGGGAGGGAGAGAGCATGCAGCTTCCCTGTCCGTGCTTTCCCCGCCTGTGCAGTGAACCTGGGCTCAGTGTTTGCTCCTGCAGAGCCGTCACGCTTGTGCTTGTGTCCTGCTCCAGGTCACTCGGTTGTCCAGAAAGAGGCGAAGAAGAGATGCTAGTGCTCAAACACCAGCCCAGCCCTCGATGGGGTGGTTCAGGCTGCAGAGCCGCTGGTGCCTCCATTCCCAGCGACTGTCCCAGACAGCTGGACCATCAGAGGCAGGCCAGCAGGATGCCCTGCCCCAGGCCACTACCCACAGGGCTGCAAGGGCATCTCACAGACACCAGGGCAGGACCACTGACCCCACTCAGCTCCACTCTGCCTTCCCCTGCCCCCTCCAGCTACTGTCCACAGGCTGCCGGCGATCAGCTGACTGGGAGGGACGGTCAGACGGGCCAGCAGCCTCTTCCGCCCTACACCCCAGCAGTGACTCACAGAAGCAACGGCCCCAGCCTGGCCCAGCCTACCCGTCCTAGAGGCCATGAGCCCCACAGCCCGGAGCGCGGGGCAGAAGAGGGGAAGAGGAAGCAGCCTCCCCCACCTCGTGTGAAGTGGGCCCACACCGTCCGAGAGAACAGCCTCCCTGAGGAATCGTGCTCACCCGAGTCAGCAAGCCTGAAGCACTACAAGAAGCAGCAGAACCTCCCAAGTTCAAGCAGCACTTCCGACCCAGACACGCCTCTTGGGGTCCCGAGCACTCCGGGGAGGATCTCCCTCCGAATATCGGAGTCCGTCCTGCAGGCCTCCCCACTGCCTCGGGAGGACTACGAGGACGAGGTGTTTGTGAAGGACTTGCACCCCAATGCCACTTC